TGAATTTTCAGCATCATTACTCCAGTCTTTAGTGTCACATGATCCTTCAGAAATCATTCTAATATGCTGATCTATTATCAGTTCTGGCAACTGTTGTGCTGCTTAATATTTTTTTGGAACCTGTGACACTTTTTTCAGGATTCTTTGATAAATAAAAAGTTAAAAAGAAGAGCATTTATATATATATATACATATATATGTGTGTGTGTGTGTAAAAGCATCTATTACTCTAATCTTCATTGTCTGGTGTTCAAGAAACATTTCTTATTATACACTGAATCCAGTTGTGCTGTTTAATATTTTTTTGGAAAAAAAATTTTTTTTCCCAGGATGTTTTTGTTAAAAAGTTAAAAAGAAGAGCATTTATATATATATATACATATATATGTGTGTGTGTGTGTAAAAGCATCTATTACTCTAATCTTCATTGTCTGGTGTTCAAGAAACATTTCTTATTATACACTGAATCCAGTTGTGGTTTAATATTTTTTTGGAAAAAAATTTTTTTTTCCCAGGATGTTTTTGTGAATAGAAAGTTTGAAAAAAAAAAAAGAAATACAATTTTTGTAACAATACAATCATATTCCCTCATGCTATATATATATATGTACACCTGACCACCTTCCTAATATTGTGTTGGTCCCCCTTTTGCTGCAAAGACAGCCCTGACCCGTTGAGGCATGGACTCCACTAGACCCCTGAAGGTGTGCTGTGGTATCTGGCATCAAGATGTTAGCAGCAGATCCTTTAAGTCCTGTAAGTTGCACGGTGGGGCCTCCATGGATCTGACTTATTCGTTCAGCACATCCCACAGATGCTCGATTGGATTGAGATCTGAGAAATTTGGAGGCCACGTCAACTCCTCAAACTCGTTGTTGTGCTCCTCAAACCATTCCTGAACCATTTTTGCTTTGTAGCAAAAGGTCACGGTGTGCAGAGGCCACAGCCACCAGAGAATACCGTTTCCATGAAAGGGTGTACATGGTCTGCAACAATGCTTAGGTAGGTAGTATGTGTCAAAGTAATATCCACATGGACGGCAGGCCAAGGTTTCTCAGCAGAACATTGCCCAAAGCATCACACTGCCTCCGCTGGCTTACCTTCTTCCCATAGTGCATCCTGGTGTCATATGTTCCCCAGGTAAGCAACGCACACGCACCCGGCCATCCACGTGATGTAAAAGAAGATGTGATTCATCAGACCAGGCCACCTTCTTCCATTGCTCCGTGGTCCAGTTCTGATGCTCACGTGTCAACTGTTGGTGCTTTCGGCGGTGATCCGCCATACGCAACAAACTGCGATGCACTGTGTATTCTGACACCTTTCCGTCAGAACCAGCATTAACTTATTGAGTAGTTTGAGCTACAGTAGCTCGTCTATTGGATCGGACCACACGGGCCAGCCTTCGCTCCCTACAGGCATCATTAATGAGCCTTGGCTGCCCATGACCCTGTCGCCGGTTCACCACTGTTCCTTCCTTGGACCACTTTTGATAGATACTAACCACTGCAGACCGGGAACACCTCACAAGAGCTGCAGTTTTGGAGATGCTCTGACCCAGTCGTCTAGACATCACAATTTGGCCCTTGTCAAACTCGCTCAAATCCTATACGCTTGCCCATTTTTCCTGCTTCTAACACATCAACTTTCAGGACAAAATGTTCACTTGCTGCCTAATATATCCCACCCACAAACAGGTGCCGTGACGATTTTTTTTTCCCAGGATGTTTTTGTGAATAGAAAGTTTGAAAAAAAAAAAAGAAATACAATTTTTGTAACAATGTCTTTTGATCAATTTAAGGCATCCTTGCTGAATAAAAGTATCCATTTCTTTCCAAAAATGAATCAATCAATCAATCAATGTATCTATCTATCTATCTATCTATCTTACAGATCATAAACTTTCACTAATTTTCACTAATATATAGTTAGTTAGTAATATATACATTGTGTTATTATGGTAATTACACAATGAAAACATTTTAAACACCCTTTGCCTTGATAAAAACTGTGATTTAGTGTAAATGACATTGCTGAGGTTCACAAATAAGAGTTTTTAGGAATAAATGGAATGCCAGAAATGTAAACGTTCTTATTCATAAAAATCCCAACAACCCATACTCTATGAGATCACTTATACCTCCTTCATGTATGCACTGAATAACTTTTATTTTATTTAAAGTTTTAGTCACAGAACCCCCAAATAAAATACGCGTAAGACAAATAAGACATAAGTGCTACTACGTGCACCTAATTAGTTTCATTTAAATATAACACGATATATGGCTGAACACGAAAAAACAAAAAAAACCTTGACTGGACTTGAGCAGAGACTGTTAATTCAGGTCAGGTGCAAGCAGGGGTCATAGTGTGTTTTCTGTTAATAGTAACCATAAATCTCGCTTATTTTGACACAAATCAAGCGAGAAAAACAAACACGACGAGAAACATTTCCACCCAACACAAAATGCTATACATTAGATTTTAGAGCCATTAGATTTAATCAGCATTCAATACACTTAACACATAAACACTGATCAACACTGTAAACAAGGGCAAACACAAACTCTTGGCGCTCTTAAAATAAAAACAACAGTCCCAGACTTAATCGGCCACACACAAAATTTATGTCAGCATGAGATAAAAATGTCCAAAACACTATAAAATTATTTACCTTGATTTTGCAGTCTTACATGTTCGCTGTTGTTAAAACTAAACCTGAAGTCATACACTCCATTCTGGCCTAATCATCCAGGCAAGAGTAATCAACTGCCTATCTGCCTATCTTTAGAAAACAAGCGCAGCTAGCGGGACTTGAATCAGGCAGAACTAATCGTCTGCCCATTTTGTCGGTTTTGTTACAATGTGTACACCAGTGGTCAACCACGTTCCTGGAGCCCCCGTGTACACTGTTTATGTATGTTTGTATGTATGTATGTTTTTTATTCATTTATTTATTTTTTAGTGAAAGATGGTAGTTTTTAAATACGTGTGTGTGGGTTATAGTTTTCATTTACTGACCAGTGTTGGGGGTAACGCATTACAAGTAACGCGAGTTACGTAATCAGATTACTTTTTTCAAGTAACCAGTAAAGTAACGCATTACTTTTTAATTTACAAGAGAATATCTGAGTTACTTTTTCAAATAAGTAACGCAAGTTACTTTTTTTCCAATTTATTGATTGACAACTCTCCTGTCCCCATGCTGAGAGAAATCAGATGTTACTGTAGCTCTAATATAAATATGAATATGCATTAATTCATCTCACTCACAAAAAAAAAAACACAGATTCAGTATTCCTCAAAATGAATAAAAATAATGCAACTCAGAATATGACGCAAACCTGCAATAATTAAATGTTAAACAACACAAATATCCCTTATGTATTTAATGCCATTCTGTTAACCAATGTCTTTGCTTCTGACCTTCGATGATCCAGTTCAACCGTACTAATCAGCAAAAATTATTCTAGAAAAACATTTATGTGTCTTTTTTTATTGCTGAAGTGTGTTGAAATTTCTTCTTCTGCATTCTACTGTACAGACTTAAATTTACTTTCCCTTCAGCCCGAGGCTTATTCATTTCACTTTTGGTGTGAAAAGGCTTTTATATTTGCCAAAAATATAACTTTTTTAATTTAAAAACAAACAAGCAAGCCCTGTCCAGATTTAAAAAGTAACGCAAAAGTAACGTAACACATTACTTTCCATAAAAAGTAACTAAGTAACGTAATTAGTTACTTTTTTAATGAAATAACGCAATATTGTAATGCATTACTTTTAAAAGTAACTTTCCCCAACACTGTTACTGAATTATGATATTCATATATTATCTACTGCCGTATTATTTGATTTTTGTACCACCTTCTGCACAGATGACGTCCTTTAGAAATCATTCTAATATGCTGATTTGGTGCTCAAGAAACCGTTCTTATTATTATGACAATTGAAAATGTTTGTGCTGCTTAATGTAGTGTGAAAACCGCAATAAAGTGTCTTTTTTCAAGTTTCTTTGATGAACAGAAAGTTTGAAGAATAACATTTACTTGAAATAGAAATCTCCTGTGACATTATAAATGTCTTATTATTTTTTTTTTTACCGTTTTGTATTGTAGACCCTTAATTTCTTACGAAAAGAAAAAAGAACAGAAAGACAAAATTATACAAACTCTTGAATGTTAGTGAGTAGGGTTGATTGTTATTGCTGCTTCTAATTTTACATTTATATTTAAAACATACTGTTGAACTTTTTAATGTTATATATCAATAAATGTATTATTTATGACTAAAAGAATATATTTTCTTGTACTTTTCACATTTTATTTTGTCTTTACCTCTCTTATACTTCAACAAGGAGCCCCAATTTGTGTCAAGTCATCTTAAATACAGTTTCTGGCAGAAACTTTCTGTTGTAACACATTGCAATGTGCCAATAACAGGAATACATATTGGGAACACTGTAAACCTATGAGATGAAAGTGGAATAATGCTGATACGTTCACTGTAAGAAAGAAGTAACACTTAAGGGTTTTGTACATTCTGTAATAGTGTGACTGTCACCAGGCGTACAGTAGCTAAAGGCGCTAGCCGTTGGCGTGCTGCAGGCAGACATGTCATGAGCCCGAGTTGCCAGACATCTCGACTGCTTCAGGGTCAGAACAGATCTGGTCACTCTTGAATGACCAGAGCAGGACTCACAAATCAGATTGTAGAAATCTTTGATATGGCACCGGTACTGCTGCCAAAACATTGAGCAGAGACAATGGCGGCATCAGCGACAGACATGCTGCTGTCCTTTGTGTAAAGAACTGTGCTGGACCTGTCAGCAGTGGCATCAGCTGCTATTGGAAAAGAGGAGAGAGTGTGTTGATGTCTGTGAAACCTCTGGGAAACCATAGTGACACACTGTTAGTCAGACTAGATCACTAGGACTAGACATTTCATTGTGTTTTGAGGTTAAGATGGCCTGCATCCACTAGAGGGAGCAAGTACTACTTTATCGGAACTTAACCAACATGTATTTATTGAATAATGCCACTTAGATGTAGAATTTGGTATTTATTGCTACTATGATGATGATGATATAATGAATAATAGGATAATAATAATAATAACGTTGAAAAAATAAATAAATAGATGTAAAAAAGAAAAGAAGCTAATTGGACTTCATTATTAAATTCATTATTATTTGTTCACTTGAAGTTTGTGTTCAACTGACTTTAAAGTCTTTTATAGAATTTCTTTATATAATTAGTATTAAATAAAAAAAGGTAACACTTTAATTTAGGGACCACTTCTCACTATTAACTAGTTGCTTATTAGTGTGAATATTACTAGCATAAATTTAACAACTACCTTATAACTATCAATAGTAAATAGTGAGAAATAGTGAGAATTGTTCCCCAAACTAAAGTGTGACCAAATAAATAGATTAAATGTATCTCTTGTAACTATGGAATAAAAAATACGGGGTGTATATTTACATTTAGTTAAAAGTGGCTGTAAATTATCAGCTCCAGTGGTGCAGATGGATAAGTGCGTGTTGTTGGTTATTTGATGTGATCGACCCAGGTTCGATCCCGTCTTTTGCCGAACTTTTTTTCCTCCCTTGTGTTTTCTGACTTGTTATAATGTTTTCTGAATTGTTGTTGTGTTTTCTGAATTGTTATTTTGTTTTTTAGACTTGCATTTGCGTTTGTAATTTGTTATTTTGTTTTCAGAATTGTGATTTGTTTTGCACTTCTCGGCCACCGTACTTTTATCCTAATTTTAATAAAGAAATCCACACAGTCATTTTATTAACTTTTATTTTTATTATCATGCAAGTTAAGTTCCGATATACTTCTGCTGCTTAAAATAAGTATGTTTCAGAAATCATATGACAAGACATTAAAGTTTACCTTGGCTGCTAAACAAATATTCAAGTGCAATTCTAGCCTCACAATGATATTCATTTTATGTCTTTAATATCAGTACTCACTGGAATTTAATTCACTGTGCTTATCTGTCCGATATGACAATTTAATCCACTGACATGACCACTGAATTACTTTAAAACACGCAGCCACAATAATACACTAAAATATCAGTAAGTACAGAGCAGAGAATATACAGCAACTCTACTATATCTTCATCTGTCATCAGCGGACGCAGGCTCATTTTTATGACATATGGTGGGAAAGCTGTATCCTCTCACTCGGTCAGTTGACAGGTTCATGTGCAAGTGTGTGAAAGAGGTGAGACCCTGGTGTTGTGAAGAAGCCGTACCCTTTCACCACGGCGGCCTGATTCACAACACCAGCTGCCCTGCCCCATCATAGAGGTCTGAACACATCATTCATCACCGTCCTCCTCTGTGCGGGTCCACCTGTCAATCAAAAAAATGCATCACATATGCACCCTGGACTGATAATAGACAATTGTACAACATCATATTTAGATAAAATTATATTTTCTGTGTATATGTGCGCTTTTTAAAAATATTGTAGGACACATGTATAAAGAAATACACTCATAAATTTTGTTGATTTTGAAATTTTTATTTTTTTTTCCTGCAGGACGAACAAAACCAATTTCAAAATAATGTAAATTAACTGTTATTAAAATACAAAAAATATTTAATATAAGTTCTACATTCTGTGTTAAATTAATATTCTACAATAAATATTCCTGAAATAATAGCAATGAAAGCATTATATTATTTTAAAACAAAAGAAAATATTTTTAAATCTATTGTGCACCTTTTTTTTGGTCAAATTAATTAATAGCCACATAATAATTACCATTACAGGTTTCTGTAAGTTGAAGAAGCTGTTAATATACCACCACATGCAACATAAAAAAATGACCTCACATTACAAAGCACTCTGCGTGACCCGCAGAACAAAAGGCACAATTACTGCGTTCACCACGCTAGGGAATGTTGACTTCCTGATAATTCCATCCCAGTTACAGGAGAGCCTCCAGGGTAGAGGTCTTATGAGTGTGGCGCTTATGTTTCTGATTTCAGTTCAAAGGCTTAAGCAGGGTTGCCAGGTTTTCACAACAAAACCCGCCCAATTGCTACTCAAAACTACCTCAAAACTGGCCCAATGACGTTTCGAGGCGGGTCAATAATGGGATTTTTTTGGCGAGGTTCCCCTGGTAAAGATCTCGCATTGCAGGGGCTAAATATCACGTTATTGGGGTCAGTGTTGGGGAAAGTTACTTTTAAAAGTAATGCATTACAATATTGCGTTACTCAATAAAAAAAGTAACTAATTACGTTACTTAGTTACTTTTTATGGAAAGTAATGTGTTACGTTACTTTTGCGTTACTTTTTAAATTTGGACAGGGCTTGCTTGTTTGTTTTTAAAATAAAAAAGTTATTTTTTTTGGCAAATATAAAAGCCTTATATAAAAGCCTTTTCACACCAAAAGTGAAATGAATAAGCCTCAGGCTGAAGGGAAAGTAAATTTACGTCCGTATAGTAGAATGCAGAAGAAGAAATTTCAACACACTTCAGCAATCAAAAAAGACACACAAATGTTTGTCTAAAGTAATTTGTGCTTATTAGTACGGTTGAACTGGATCATCGAAGGTCAGAAGCAAAGACATTGGTTAATAGAATGGGATTAAATACATAAGGGATATTTGTGTTCTTTAACATTTAATTATTGCATGTTCGCGTCATATTCTGAGTTGCATTATTTTTATTCATTTTGAGGAATATTGAATCTGTTTTTTTTTTTGTGAGTGAGATGAATTAATGCATATTCATCTTTATTTTAG